TTAGTCAAGCTGTGATAGGAGTAGTATTGGGGAATAGAGGCAGTATTGTCTGGGGGATAGGGACTTTAGCGAGGGGGGAATAAGGGCAGTATACTGTGTGTGCATGTCTGTGTGTGTCTGCAGCTCTGAGTGTGTTAAGAGCTGACTATATCAACCAATAAACTCAGTGGGTGTTGTCAAAATAATTCCGTGCTACAAAATACCTCAGTGGAATTCCCAACCACCTTCAAAAAAACAATAAATAATGCATACAAATGGAAGAGCACTGGAATGTCAGATATTACAAATAAGCTTGGAGCCAAAAGAACACTTGGCTCGAGTGCGCTGCACAGTAGGACCAATTGAGGGGGTCTTAACCTTCTTAAGCTAGAGAGTTTCTGTGTGAGTAAGAAAACTCACATAGAGCAGTGCTGTATAATAATCAGAGGGTAATTATGGGTGAGTATACACTCACATATTCCCAGGCATGTATCAGCATTTCAATGGGTAGAAAGTGCAGTCAAAATCCAGAATATCTTCAATAATCCAAAAGATCCTTTATTAGGGTAAAACATTGATGTGTAAAATACTTAATAAAATAAAGTCTTTCCTTGTCCAATAAATCCAAAAAGCCCTTGAGCTTCCTCAGTTGGTTTTTAGCTGTGGGGCAGCCAGTCTCCTTTTTATGTCTCCCGCCATCTGCCTTTTTCCAGAACACCGTCTAAGTTCCACTTCGTGTAATTCCGGTTAAAATCCATCTATTTCCGGGTATGCACACGATGACGTGATGACGTTGCATTCCACTGCAGTTAGTATTTCCCTGTCCTTTTATATCTATTCAGGGTTTCTATGTTTTATATCTCTCTTTTAATGGAACACAATAATATAGACATAGTAATACACACATGAAGTAATAAAACCTAGTAATATATTAATAGAATATTGAGATATATAACTGTGGTGTACAATAAAAATATACATTCTAACAGAGATTAATTTTCAAAAATGTATACACTCTGATAAAAGTAAATTTTCAAAATTTAGAGCATATTACTTTTATGAAAACATGTTATTTAAATAACAAAAACTCTTTAAAACTAAAAAGACTAAAAAGAGAAAGACCTTTTAACTATATTAAAACAATTTTCCTCTTTCACCCCTCATCACAGTTATCACTATCTGCATGCTTAAGGGATGTTTTTAAAGAGTTTTTGTTAATTTTTTTAATTTAGTGAGTGTATACCCACCCATAATTACCCACACAGAAACTCTCCAGCTCAAGAAGGGTTAAGACCCCCTCAATTGGTCCCACTGTGCTACGCACTCGAGCCAAGTGTTCTTTTGGCTCCAAGCTTATTTGTACTATCTGACATTCCAGTGCTCTACCATTTGTATGTATTATTTAGTGTTAAGAGCTGAGTTTAAGAAAGGGCAGGGGTGGGGCTTAAGATGTCAGCAAGCTAGTTTTTAGGCTCAAGCAGCGGGTGTTTTTGTACCCTAACAGTGCCCAGGGTTTAATGCAGATTAATCCAGGAGAATACAGTGTTGGAATGGAGTGGAAAAAAATAGCTAATAAAGGAGAGGAGAGAAAAAGATTATTTAGTTCAGTGACCATAAAAATATTGTGAATCTGCATCAGGAATATGCTTACATGTGCAAAATATAAACAGGTAAAGAACTTAAATACCTAGGAAATATGTAGTGTTGAATACCATCTAATATTGGATGTATGCATGGTATGAGCGTTTCTCCTGCAGTAAATCATCACAATATTGACTATCGTCAAGATGGCATATGGAACATTTAAAAATTGAAGTGGTGATGGGCGAATTATCTGTTCCAATTTATTGCTCCCTTGCCAGTAGAAATATTTAATGTTTTTTAAATAAGCTTACAAAAGAGGCATATTAGTCATCTGAATTATAACCTTTTTAGGAAAAATTAAGCAAAGTCTTAGTTTATAGGTTGAGATGACAAATTGTATTGAAATGTAATGCTTCTGAATTGAAAGAAACATTTAAAGAACTACTCTCTCCTTTGAAATTGCCATTTTCATGAAGTAAGATAGAGAGGACATTCAATTAACACCTTCACTATTGAGCACTTTTAGTTTGAAGAAGCATTAGCACAACTGTATTTGAAGAATGCCTAGCTGGCATATAAACATATCTTAACACATCCATTTTGTGTATATATTGCTTTGAATAGAAATGTAAAAATTATGTCAATTTACATAATTTGAATTTTTCACGTATTCATTCAGCCTTTATTTGGGAAAAAAAAAGCTTTAGATAGTATACAGTGGCCTTTATCTTGCCATATTTCACATATCGTCTGAAATGCTAGTATAAAACAAAAGGTCAAATACCAGCTCGGAGCTCTTGCCCAACATTGGTTGAGGGATAAGATACCTGCAGTGGAATGTGTGATATATAATATAAAGAATAATTATCTAATGGACAAATTATCAGCCCAAATCAGAAATTGTAGATTATGCTAACGTAGTGTACCTATAATCTTAATTTTAGTAATGACAGGAGGCGAGTATTTTGCATAACTTTCTTTACGTATGCTTCCAGCAGCACAAGACAATCAATCAAAACTTTTAACCAATCATAGGCCAACATAGCCTGTATATAAAACCTTGATGGGTGTGTCTATTCCTCTTTCTTTGATGTGTTAAATCCTGTAACGTCAGGGATATGATGAAATTTCCAAACTTGAACACTGGTAACTTGAACGACCGTAACTTGGATCGAAGCTTGAAGGGGTCCTTTTAATCCGACTCCCGAATCCTTTTATGCTGAAAAAAACAGAAATAGGTGAAAGGAAGGGAATTGAACTATTGTCCACATATACATTTATAGACCTATCTCTAATTATTCAATATATTGCCGAAATTGACTATTCTATGGATTTACCTACTATGTCTCCTAATTGATACCAAATTCCCTTCTGTCTACGATACCGTCTTTAATCACTATGCAGATTATTGTCTACAATGCCAAAACTATAAATACATACCAATTATTAACTGTCATCAATACACATCCCACCATACCAATAAAATAATGTTATCGTGCTAATAATAATCGTAAATATGCTAGAAATTTGCGAGTATATAGGGAAGGACAACCCAAAATCTATGGGGGGGGGGAAATACTCGCCTCCTGTCATTACTAAAATTAGGATTATAGGTACACTACGTTAGCATAATCTACAATTTTACCACATGACAGGAGGCTTCCTATTTTGCATTTTTAACGCTGCGGTCACAACGAAAAAGATGCATGTGATGTCTGTCAGAAATAGAAAACCCTGAAGATATTTTCTCTAGTCCAGTCCGCCGAGCGCAAAATATCCGTTAACGATGCTCCCGCCGAATATGCACGTGAAGCCGCCGTCCTGCGTACCGAGTGGGCCCCGAAAATCAACTCTACCCCTGCCAGGGCTAAGAGCCAACGTACCCATCTAGCCAACATGGTTGTAGTTACCGGTTTGTATGGCTTAGTATACGATACCAGCAGTTGACCCGATCGAGAAAACCGGAGAGAATCAGTTACTTCTACGTACAGTAGAAGCACTTTCACAACACATAGCTGAGGAACCGTCGGAAAAAAAGGGTAGGACACGAATGTACAGTCCGTCTTGGTCCTGCGATATACCGTGAAGGTAACTCCTTCTGGTGTTATAGTAAAACCGTCCACGTCGAAAGCTCTAACGTCCGAGACTCTTCGAAACGAAACTAAACATAGTAGAAGTGTCAGTTTGGCTGTTAATTGTCTTAGAGATAATGCCGCGTTGTCCGGCCAATTTTGAAGAAATCGAATAACCAAATCTACATCCCAAAGACTGTTATACTTCAGGGCCGGAGGTCTGGATAGTTTGATGCCCCAAAGTAGACGGCATATCAAAGAGTTCTGACCTACTGGTGTTTCGTTTATCGGAGTGTGAGCTGCCGAGATGGCGGATCGAGTAATATTAGTAGAATGGTATGCTCTCCCTTCGGAGAATAAATTGGACAGAAAATTTAGAATGTAGGAAATAGGTGCTGTAAAGGGATCGTGGTCCCTTTCCATGCACCAGCGATTCCATGTATTCCATGCTGATAGGTAGCTGCGTTTAGTGCCAGGTGCCCATGAGTCCCATAGTAGGTCTCTAGTTGTCTGCGATAGGCCTGCGACGTTCCAGGATCCCTGGAAAGACTCCAGGCCACTAGTTCCAGCCGTTCCTGTGTTATTAGTGGGTGAGGTTCCCCTTCCGGATTCGTTAGGAGGAGTGGGAACACTGGTAAGACTAGTGGATGGTCTTGCGACAGTGCTAGTAGGTCTGGAAACCATGCTTGGCCAACTGTAGAACCTCGGTAGTTGTGTGTTCGTCCATGATGTGAAGAGGTCTATGTGCAGGGGACCTCTTAGCGTCCTCACCCTGTGGAAGATGGCGTTGTCTAGGCGCCAATCGCTGCTGTCTCTCCAATGTCGAGAGAACCAGTCCGCCGTGAGGTTGTTGACTCCAGGTAGGTATTCTGCCTTGATCGTGATGTTGCGGGGAAGGCAAAACCGATAGATGTCCCTCGTCGCTTCTGTTAGGGCTCGCGATCTGGCTCTGCCCAGATGGTTTATGTACTGGACTGCTGATATTTTGTCCATGCGTAAGAGTATGCAGCAGTTGGACATGCGCTTGGCCAGACTGCATATCGCAAAGGAGCCCGCTATCAACTCCAGGCAATTGATGTGTAGGAGTTTTTCTTCCTCTGACCACGAGCCTCCGGTGGATGCCTGCGTGCAGTGGGCTCTCCAGCCCCATAGGCTGGCGTCCGACTCCAGAACAAAGTCCCAGCTTGGCCCGAATATGGCTCTGCCGTTCCAGGCCTCCATGTGGAGGAGCCACCACTGGAGTTCTGTCCTCACTTCTGCTGATACTGGAATCCAGTGGTCATATGTACGCCCCTGTCTCAAGTGGTGGGCCTTCGCTTGTTGCATGGCCCGATAATGGAGTGGTCCTGGGAAGATCGCTTGTATGGAAGATGATAATAGGCCTACCATTCTGGCCAGAAGGCGGAGTGGTATTGATTCTTTTCGGAGTACCCGGCGTATCTCTTTCCGTATTGTCACAATTTTCGCCACGGGCAGTCGCAGGGTGCACGTTCTCAAGTCTATTTCGAACCCCAGAAATTGTACCACCCTGGCTGGGTGGAGCGATGATTTTTCTCTGTTTACGATGAAGCCCAATGATTCCAGCAATTGCACTATGAATTTCATTTGAGATCGAAGTCTGGATGCAGTCTCGCACAATATCAGTAGTCTCCCGTTTTCTTTTGGACCACGAATATGTTGCTAAAGAAGCCCGTATCGTCCGGGGTGATCTCCACAGCCCCTTTGTCGAATAGGGCCTGGATCTTGTTGTCTATGAGTTTGGTGTGCTGTGCTGATGTCCTTATTGGTGGAGGGCGACGTTTCTGCACCAGGGTGTCTAAAAACTCAATCTCGTAGCCCGTTACCGTATGTAGGATCCAGTTTTCCGAGGATATCTTTCCCCATTCCTGTGAAAAGAGAGACAGTCTGCCTGCAGTCATATGAGAGTATAAAAACGTTGTGTTGGGGTTCCCCTTCCGGATTCGTTAGGAGGAGTGGGATTCGTTAGGAGGAGTAGGTATTCTGCCTTGATCGTGATGTTGCGGGGAAGGCAAAACCGATAGATGTCCCTCGTCGCTTCTGTTAGGGCTCGCGATCTGGCTCTGCCCAGATGGTTTATGTACTGGACTGCTGATATTTTGTCCATGAAGCGTCCGCGTCCGCGGGTACCTTTGGAACGGAAAGACCCTTGTGGGAAGTTGGTTCTTGAAGACGGGAAGAACGCTTGAGGCGTCTGGTTTCTGGGGCCTGTGGGCCCAGCTCCATTAGTTTGGAGTCCATTTTCAGCAACGTTGTTGCCCAGTATACCGATAGCCCGTTGCGCCCATTCTCGTATAACGTGGGCGTCCAGTGTGGCGCCCTGGGAGAGGGCTAGTATGTCCAGGAGCTTGTCCTGAGATTCCTTCAGTCCCTTCTCTATACCTTTCCGTGGGTCTCGGCCCGCACGGGACATGAAAAGGAGCACGGTAGTGTCGAATTCTGGGGTTTGTGCAATTTTGTCCGGCAGTATGGGTCTTGGGCATTCTGCCCGTAGCCTTGCCCTCACTTCTTTTTCCATCGGCTTTCTTAGCCAGAAATGGATGAACAGGGCCAGATGTTCTGGCAAGCCCCATTCTGATGATCTTGGATGTCGGATCGTGCGGTGATCGAACATGGTTGCCCCTTGGGGGTCTATAAAGGTGCACTGAGTGCAATATGGCCCGCTTGGGGTCACCCAGCGTAAGGGGGGTCACCCCTATAATAATAATTGCAATAATGTGAGTGGTGGGTTACCCCTGTGTCTCGTTATTCCGATTATCCTGTCTTCTCCACTCCTTTGACCTCGGCTTGTTTCTCGTTCTCCCGTTTTCTGGTTCCCTTTACTTGGCTTGTCTCCTGACTACTCTTAGCGTGCTTAGCCCGGCCACTCTAAGGTCCGGTACGGCACATTTTCTGTGTGTGTGTGCCAGCGTGTTGGGTTCCCAGAATCGTGACATTACAACAGGGCCACCATGGAACCTGCTGACATTCCACAGCTGTTAGTAAATCAGGAGGCTAGAATGGATGGTTTAGACCACCATATGGATCAGTTTGCCCAGGCTTTACAAACCATACTGGCTCGTACTGCCCACTTGCAACCTGCCGTCCAAGAAGCTGTTCCTGCTGTGCCAGAACCCATTCCTGATCCAGTACCCGCTCCTGCTCACGTGGTTCACATGACGCCACCTCAGCGCTATAGCGGTGATCAAGCATTGTGCCGTGGTTTCCTCAACCAAATTGATATTCATTTGGTGATGAATCCTCGTTCCTACCCCACTGACAGAACCAAAATTGCTTTTTTGATTAACCATTTGTCCGGGAAAGCTCTAGCATGGGCTAATCCCATGTGGGAGAATACGTCCCCAATGTCCTTTTCAGACTTCTTAACAGCTTTTAAACGTACGTTTGACCAACCCGGCCGGGTTGCTTCTGCTGGCAAAGCTCTGCTTAGGGTTCGACAGGGTAATAGGTCTGTAGCGGATTATACCATCGAATTCCGCACTCTGGCAGCTGAAGTGGTCTGGAATAACGACGCTCTCGTAACAGCTTTTCAGGAGGGTTTAGCCGCTTACATATTGGATGAAATAGCATCCAGGGAAATGCCTGTTCTTCTGGATGATCTAATAGATTATGTCATTCTAATTGACAACCGTATCAGAGAGAGGCGTAGTCAAAGAAGGATGAATACACAGGGGTTACCTGCTTTACCCAGTACTGCATTGCTAGCATTACCTCCCCCTAATCAACCACCTCCCGAACCCATGCAATTAGGTGCTGTAGGCTTATCTGAAGCTGAAAGAACGTACCGCAGAAGGGAGGGTTTGTGCCTTTATTGTGGTAAGAGGGGGCATCTCCGAAGAAACTGTCCTAGTTTGCAGGGAAACTCCAGCACCTAAGGCCTAGAGAGGGGTCGGCCTCGGGTGTTATGGTTTTTTCCCCTCATATGTCCATCTCTAGACCATTTATAACGGTTTCTCTTTTGGTCAATAAAACCACGATAACAACTAAAGCCTTGATCGATTCAGGTGCTGCAGACAGCTTTATGGATGAGAACTTTGCTAAAACCGCAGCCTTGAGTTTGATCCAAAAGGCCACACCCTTGGCCATTGAGGCCATAGATGGTAGACCACTTGATAAACCTCTGGTGACCCATGAAACCCAAGAAATGGTTATGGTCGTGGGTGCCTTACACAAAGAAAGGATAGCCTTCCAAATAATTGACTCCCCTACAGCTTCCATCATTCTGGGTTTTCCCTGGTTAGTTAAGCATAACCCGGTACTCGATTGGGATTCTCTAGATATACTCTCCTGGGGGGTATCTTGTCAACAAGACTGTATGGCCCGTTTACATCCCGTTTGTTTACTTAATGTGCCTACAGCTAAACCACTTTCTGTTTCTGTCCCTCCTGTGTATGCAGACCTCGCATTGGTCTTTGAAAAGAGGGAAGCTGATAAACTACCCCCACACCGGGATTATGATTGTGCCATAAATTTGTTACCTGGAACGATGCCTCCTAGGGGTAAGGTCTACCCGCTTTCTGAGAAAGAAAACCAGGTCATGGAGGAGTACATACAGGAATCCTTACGTAAAGGTTTTTTCAGAAGGTCCTCCTCTCCGGCTGGTGCTGGTTTCTTTTTTGTTGCCAAGAAGGAGGGCGATTTGAGACCATGTATAGACTATAGGGGCCTGAATAATATAACAATTAAAAATGCTTATCCTATCCCTCTCATTGCTGAGTTGTTTGACCATGTTAAAGGTTCTAGATATTTTACTAAACTAGACCTCAGGGGGGCTTACAACTTGGTTCGGATAAAAGAAAATGATGAATGGAAGACAGCGTTCAATACACGCAGTGGGCATAACGAGTATCTAGTCATGCCTTTTGGACTGTGTAATGCTCCTGCTGTCTTTCAGGACTTCATAAATGATGTCTTTAGAGATCTACTGCATGTCTGTGCTGTGGTTTATCTCGATGATATACTCATATTCTCTCCTGATTTGGAGTCACATCATGCCCATGTGAGGAAGGTACTTAAGAGATTGCTACAGAACGGTCTTTATTGTAAATTGGAGAAATGTTTATTTGACCAGAAATCAGTACAATTCCTAGGGTACATCATTTCTGAACAGAGGATCAGTATGGATCCTTCTAAATTAGAAGCCATATTGTCTTGGCCTCTCCCTCAAGGTCTTAAGGCAATACAGCGATTTATAGGCTTTGCCAATTATTATCGCAGGTTTATAAAAAACCTTTCATCGGTCATTTCTCCTATCACTAAACTAACTAAAAAGGGTTTGCACCCCAGGGTTTGGACTCCAGAAGCTATCAAAGCCTTCGAAACCCTCAAAAAGGCATTTGCCACTCCTCCTGTGCTACACCATCCTGATCCTTCCCTTCCCTTTATAATGGAAGTAGATGCTTCAGAATCAGGTATAGGAGCTGTATTATCACAAAGATTATCCTATAACGAACCCCTCCATCCCTGTTGTTACTTTTCTAAAAAACTGTCTGATTTGGAAAAGAATTACGACGTCGGGAATAGGGAACTATTAGCTATTGTGATGGCATTTAAAGAGTGGAGGTACTTATTAGAAGGAGCTAGACACAAAATCCTGGTTATAACTGATCATAAGAATCTCTCCTATATAGCTGATGCTAAAAGGTTGTCCTCTCGTCAAGCCAGATGGTCCTTATTTCTTTCACGCTTTCAGTTCATTATCACATATAGGCCTGGGTACCGTAATGTCAAGGCTGATGCTATCTCCCGACAATACGAACCTTTGGAGTCTATCGCCCCCACTCCTGAACCCATTGTACCCACGTCTAAGATAATAGCTGCTACCCGTTTAGTTATTTCGTCTCTTTTCCTTGATGGTATCAAGGCATACCAAACCCAAGCTCCCTCTGAGACACCTGTTGGTAGATTATACGTGAAAGAGAAAGATAGAAAGAAATTGTTAGCTTTATTTCACACCGCCAAAACGGCTGGCCACCCAGGGGTTACCAAAACATACAAGGGTCTCCTTCAACAGTTTTGGTGGCCTTCACTTAAGCAAGACGTGGTGGATTATGTGCAGGCTTGTCGTGTTTGTGCACAGTGTAAGTCCCCTAATGTCAAATCCCCGGGACTCCTAATGCCTTTATCCGTACCCAAGAAACCATGGACCCACTTATCCATGGACTTTATTGTGGATCTTCCTTCATCCGATGGAATGACAGTAATTTTGACTGTGACTGATAGATTCTCTAAAATGGCACACTTTATTCCACTTAAAAAACTACCTTCTGCGGTTCAGTTGGCTCAGGTATTTGCCAAAGAGGTTTTCCGCTTGCATGGTATACCACAGGATATCGTATCTGACAGGGGTCCTCAATTTGTCTCTCGGTTCTGGAGGGGCTTTTGTGCGGAGATGGGGATTTCCTTGTCGTTTACTTCCTCCTATCATCCACAATCTAATGGAGCGGCCGAACGGGCGAATCAATCTGTGGAGTTATATTTACGTTGCTTCACGAATGCACACCAGGACAACTGGTCTCACCTCCTTCCTTGGGCTGAATTTGCCAGGAACACTGTGACTCATTCGT